GGATAATTCTTCATGATAGACAGCAGGGGGGGGGATAATTCTTCATGATAGACAGCAGGGGGGGAGGATAATTCTTCATGATAGACACAATTCTAATTAGTCCAGAAACTTTAATCAATCTGACAAAACAATTTTTCTCTCTTCTTTATTTTAGCTAACATTCATAATTTAAATACTTTAATCTCAGTTGAATGTTAGATACAAATTACAATTTAACTTCTCAAAACTTTGATATCAACATTTTTGCTCTTCTGTCTAGAATGAAGAAAATATAAGACAATTCTGAACAAAAATCATGCTTATTAAATAAGAGAACAATTAAGATAAAAAATTTGTCCCTAAAAATATTGTTTTTTGTTTAGTATTAAACATATATTTAGTTTGAAACTTACAATTGAATTAGCAGCTGATAATTTTTTGCTTGAACCAAAATGAGATTTGATTTTTGTCCCAAACCCTGGGATTCCCAATCCGTTGGTCAGGGATTCACTCCTTTAAGGTGACATTTTTCATCAAAGTAGTTTAGGTCGGCTAGAAGGCAAAACTTTTACTCCGCATTTTTCATTTTAATCAATGATAGTTTGGCAAAGTTAAACAGTTCCATAAAAGGGAGTGTTCGCGAAAAAAAGGGGGCATAGGCTTAGTGCGATAAAAAAAGCGCTTTTGATCGCTACTAATCTTACTTCTATCTGTTGCGTCTATAAGGAGAAAACTGTTAAAGACGTCTCATTCCGAATAACTTAGCGGTCATACAAATTGAGAAAATTGCGACATACGACTTAGACCGTAAAAAAATCAATTTAATTTCAGACAAATCATTAGATATTACAACCTATAGTCATCGATTATATTTCGCCACATTTGTTTATAGTTTATATTTTATAATATTTTTAAATTAATTTGTTTGTTTCTCCTGTCGCTTGCGCAACAATCTAAGAATGCCGCACACCACTCACAATTTTCGAAATCCGTTGAAAAGTTTTCTAAAAAAAAAATATTATAAAATATAAACTATTTACAAAGATAATCGATGACTATACGTTGTAATATCTAAATAATTTTTTTGAAATTAAATTGATTTTTTACGGTCTAGGTCGTATGTTGCAATTTTCTCAATTTGTATGGCCGATAAGTTATTCGATATGAGACGTCTTTAACAATTTTCTCCTTATAGACGCAACAGATAGAAGCAAGATTAGTAGCGATCAAAAGCGCTTATTTATCGAATTAAGCCTATATCCCCTTTCATTTTTCGCGAACACTCCCTTTAAGGTTGAAAACTGGATTTAAAAGTAATACATTTTTTAGCCTTAACATCTTTATTATAAAATAACTATTCGTTATTTGAAATTTTGAATTATAACATCGTTCTTAGTTCTCCAGGCTCTAAGTCTATTTAGAGTTAAACGTGCATGTTTTTTTATTCGGTTTTAAATTCAAGGTTGTAACTTTTAAGAGGCTTCACAAGAACATGAAGAGTAGGAGTTTATCATACTTTAAAAAATGGTTTTCTATGTGTTTGCTTTTTACTATATGTTTTCTTTAAACACAGTGTGTTAAAAAAAAAACTTGCAATTTGACCTGAAATACACGTATGGCCAAAACGAGAAACCGTAAATCTTTTGTAGGAGTAAAAATTGTGTACTATGTAATGAAAGCATACTTAATAGAAAAAAATTATTTTGGAATATGTTTTATGTCTAAGATTTTTGTGGAAGATCTTTAAAAGTAAAAATCTTAGAATGTAACGAACCAACAAAACGTGAACTTTACAATAGAACTTTATAAATGGACAACAGTGCTCCCTCCCTGTATTTCCCCTTCAAAACCGGATAGAAATAGCGTGTAGAGACTTCAATATTTTAACATTATTTTGGATGAAAAGTATTGAAAACGGGGATTTCTTGACTGTATACTTTCTTATTTTAAGCTTGTGAGGTTTGTACACTATATACAGTGTACAAGCTAAAAATAAGAAATGCGGGAGAATTATTAATGGCTAATTATAAAGTATCAATCCCTCAATTAGGAATTGTATATTGGGGAAAAATGTCACCTTTGTTTTTTCCGGAATTTGTTAAAAATAGTTAAATGCAGAGGAATAGCCTAAATATCAAAGTATTGTTGCTTGAAATCAATGATCCATGGGAATATCATCTGAATCATCTGAAGATGCAGCGCCTAGCTATTAACTCCATTTTAATCCGACATGATTATAACTTAACTTAATAAAAAAAGCACATGCATTTATGAATTTTAAGTCTTGATTTATGTTTAACATATTGTTTATAGCGTAAAGTTTGAATCTTTAGTTAAAGCTAATATTTTTAAAGTGCAAAGTCATTTAGCTAAACTATTGGCTGTCTAGGAAATTTTGTGTCCTTCAAAGTCGTCTGAATTTCTTGTCTTGCTTCACCAAACAAAATAGGGCTAAAGGTCAAATTATTTTTAGCAAAATCAAAAGTCATATATTCATAAATTTGTAAGGATACTAAGGTCGGGGTAAAAGAGGTTAAGATACAAGATGTCAGGATACAGGATACAAGATAATACAATAGGTCAGGATACCATAGGATATAAAAAAGGTCAGGATACAAAATGTCAAGATAGAAAGAGTCAGGATACAAAATGTCAAGATAGAAAGGGTCAGGATACAAAATGTCAAGATAGAAAGGGCCAGGATACAAAATGTCAAGATAGAAAGGGTCAGGATACAAAATTTCAAGATAGTTTAAAATGTTAGGATACACAATGTCAAGATAGATTAAAAGTTCAGGGTACAAAATAACAAGGGTACAAAATGTTAAGATAGAAAAAGACCAGGATACACAATGTCAAGATAGTTTAAAGGGTCAGGATACAAAATATCAAGATAGAAAGGGTCAGGATACACAATTTCTAGATAGTAAAGGATCAGGATACAAAATGTAAAGATAGTTTAAAGGGTCAGGATACAAAGTGTCAAGATAGAAAGGGTGAGGATACACAATGTTAAGATAGTTTAAAGGGTCAGGATACACAATGTCAAGATAGTTTAAAGGGTCAGGATACACAATGTCAAGATAGTTAAAAGGGTCAGGGTACAAAATGTCAAGATAGTTTAAAAAGTCAGAATACAAAATGTCATGATAGTAAAGGTCAGGATACAATGTCTAAAAATATTTACCTTCGGCAAAGGTGTTGTTTTGTCGTTCCCAGCGAAGATTACATCAATACTCTAAAAATAAAAATTAGCCACAGGGTGTCCCGCGAAACATGACAGTTGAGAGAAGACTTAAAGATTAACTTTGATCCTTAACAGCTTACTATAAAAGATTTTTTTCTACACTCTGCCCCAAAAAGACTCAGCCTGCTTATAAAAAGTCTCATCTATTTTTAAGACAGGGTTGACTTTGAAGTGTCGCAACGCAACGCATTGGGCTTTGATTTTACCGCTTTTGTTTTTCTGTAGCCCTTTATAGGACGTTTTTGAAATAGTAATAAGAGGGGGTAATGGACATTGCAAGGAAAAGGTTAGGGGGCTATACGATGATGTTGGCCCCTTTTCAATGTACCTGACCCCATTTTATATGTACGTCAAACTTGAGTTACATTTTGAAACATGAAATATTGTAATTAACCTTCATTTTAATATTTCTTACAGTGTAATTAAATATATTCATCATAAACTGGAGACTCTGTTGCTTTCTTTAGTTTAAAGATATTTATTTCCCCCCCCCCCCTAACCACCCACTTCCCGCCTTTACCCTCTACCCTATTTTACCCCTCCCTCCTACTTTCGAGTTTGAACCCTGTTATTTTTATTTACTTTCATTAGCTTCTTCGTTTTTGCTTCACTTTTGGTTCAATTGTCTGCTTTCAGATCTTTTGAGTGATTATTTTTGTTGACCTCTTTTTTACTTGTTTATTTTGATACATAATTATGTTTTTTATCTATACGAGGTGAGGTTTATAGGTTTTCTATCTGTTGCGTCTATTTGGAGAAAATTGTTAAAAAATAGAGATTTAACCTGAATTATTATTCGCTCTGATAAATATTTTTTTTTCATCTGATGTTTTAGTAATGAAAGAGAAGAAAATAAAGGTTCATGGCTTAAAGCATAAGCACCCCAGTCAAATTACGTTGAGCCAAACGGAAATGAGTCTTAGTCACAAACTCAACTTTTCTTATCCTTATATCTTAGCAACTTGATGGTGCAAACCTTTGATGTTTCAAACTTAGATTAAATTGGATCTACCAGAATTCGTAGTTTGAAATATCTAAGGTTTACGGCATTGGGTTGCAAAGATGTAGAGATTAGAAATTCTGAGTTTATAACAAAGACTCAAATCTTTTGTATCATTCATTAAATTTTAAACTAATCTTAAAATTTACAAAAAATAAGATTTTGAATATGTTTATTTACAAAGTTTGTTCACATAGACTTTAGC